ACCAGTGCCCCCCCCTGCCCCAAACCAAAACACTGGAGAGGGGCAAAGCCCTTCAAACCCTCCCCAGAGCTGGCCTGGTCCCCACATGTGGCTCAATGTCACTGTTGTCCCCTAAGGGGACAGCTGGGGGGAGACTGCAGCCCATTCCCCGAGGGTGAGGGGCTCCAAGAGGGGGGGTCCCCCGTGTACCCCCCCAAATATTGGTAACACCCAGGGTGCTTTTCCCAGGCAGTGCTGCTGCCAGGTGGCACTGCCACCACCACTGCTGCCACTGGATGTGGCATTGCCACTGCTGGTGCTGCAGGATGCGGGTGGCTGGAGGGGGGTTGCGGGGCAGCTGCCTGCTTACCATTATCCCCGGGGCTCCCACGGGCAGCCGGGGACCCCCAGAGCTGCCCAGGCTCCTGCCCCCTGCCCGGAGCGCTGCCTCTGGGTGCTGGGGAGGTGGGGGGTTCGGCCGCTGACAGCCGGGCCACCTGGCAAAGAGACAGGAGGGTTGGGTGCCATAAGGTGACCCACCCCCAGGCTCCTGTGCCCCTCCAGGGGTGGCCGAGCCCAGGGTTGGTGGCATGTTGGGGGGCTCACCTGCGCCTCGAGGGTGGCAAGCCGGGCTGTCAGCTCCCCAACGCGGCTGCAATTCAGGCACCCTGCGAGGGGGAAAGCAGGTGGCACAGGCGGTCAGGTGGGGGGGCACCCACCCCTCTTTCACCCATGCTGATGCAGCATGTGGTGGGAAGGGGAGACGGGACCCACCTGAGAAAGCTGTGGGGCGCAGGGGGAGCCGGCGTGGTGTGGTGCTGGGGCGCCCAGCGTCCCGCAGGGCAAGGAAGGCGTGAGCCTCTGCTGAAGGAAAGGGGGGTCAGAAAGGGGGTACCCCCCCCCGACGCTGGTGCATTGCCTCTGTTGGGAGACCCCCAAAGGCCATGGAGCTGGGAAAGCCTGCTGCCCCTCACCCCGAAATGGGGGGTGGGCGGGGGTGCAAGGGCTCCCACTGCTTCTGCCCCATTCTCACTCCTGGGGAGCCTCACAGCCCCCAAACCCACCC